TTCTTACCTGAATAACATCCCATTCTCGTATTCTCATGTTGATGTCGATCTCTAGCTCTGCCATTGTCTTGTCAGTCTATCAAATTACAATAAGTATTACAAAATTACTTTTATTATTACAAGACATTTGATTGGCTAAAATCTATCCTATCGAAAAACGGCTAGCACTCCTTCGCGGCGCGCGCGTCACGGTTTTCCTATTTTCCCGCCCTTTTATCAGGTAAATCAGAACTAGCTACAAAGGGTTTTTTGTCAACACATCGCTAAAACGCTTTCACATCAAGTAAATCTTACGTTTGATCTGTGTTTTTGTGTTTAGACTGATATACATGTATTATCCAATGCTCGCGAAGAAAGCTTGTTTCATTTAGATTAAACAAGAAAAAGCCAAACTACTGTACATGTACGTTAACAGGATGCCGGTCCAATTCTAAGACTAAACTCTGAGTCAGTTTGAAGGTGAGTTCAAGGAGCTCGGGAATTGTATATAAATAGAAAAGTATCGATGATAGACGCTTACCTTTTCCATTTGTGTGATATTTATACCAAAATGAGCTAAATGTCGTGCTAAATGTGGATCTTCAACCATATCATCTTCGTCATATGAAAACACATCTAAAAACAATGAACAAAGTCATCATGACTTCGAACTGTTTTGATGGTCGAAAATTCTATGATTTTMARTAACGCTTTMATTGACTAGACCACACTACACTATGCAAGAGCCATTTATTCAAYATATGGTCGATAGTTTTATCGATAACTTACCAGCCCCATCAGGAGTAATGGTACCTAGTTTTACAGCCAGGGGATATTTAGTTTGCCGRTAAGCTTCTAATGCATGATTGTTRCCACCACTGCCTAAARAAGACATATTTATATGATCAATCAGTAACAAGATCCACTTGGTGGAACATACCGCGTCCAGGCTACGCTAATATATACTTTTACCAGSGCCGCGATCGATTTGATAGATTTTGCGTATGATCTTTTCACGTCATTTTTTAACTCGAAGATTGCGAAGCAATCGAAGAGTTATAGGAGGGAGATAGATGATGGTGTGTGAGGTGAGGTGGACTAGTTAATAGGTCACTTATTTTTTCTGTAAACATACGGGCATTTAGAAATCCGTAACCAAGATGGCCAGGTGTTTTGATACAGAAATGGCTTTTTAAACACACAAAATGTGATTTTTGAGGTCTGAACAAAGCCTGAGGCTTCATACAGATTTATGTCCACGGTATACTTGTCTAACAATCTTCGAGTTGTGTCGCTATTGGCGGCTTGATTGAATATTTTTATCATTGCAGCGAAAATTTAGCATTCAGATTGCATTCACATTATCCTCAGAGAATTTATAAGATCAAAGTGGAAAACGTCCAAAATGTCAGTAAGTTGTTTCACCTATTTTTTTTGGTGCTAAATATATCTTTTTACACAACTGTTTCTAAAGAAACACCGTCGCAGCTCACAATAGTTTACCACTAATCCACAACGCTAATGCGTTTCCACCCAATTCTAACCACCCGGRAGTAAGTTTGATTGTTCATTGTATTTTCATTTCACAGTAGTTGTGAATTCTTAGAAACAAAAGTTCTTTTTTCCACAGGCTTTGGATTGGGTGGTAACGTTCATGGCAATGCGTTAGCCGATTAGGCCTGGTTCTTGCGTCGAGCCAGGGTTGTGTTATTCTCAAAAACAGATAAGATGACGTTTGAATCAACGTCAACCTTTTGCTGTGCAGAACGACTGGTGCTTCCATGCCACTGCCGTGCTACAGTAGCGCCGAACTCAATTGATTTATACGTCGAGCTGTTCATGTGCTAAATTCTATTTTGTTCGCCGYGATGCTGGCTCGRCGTATGAACAGGCCCTTAGTTCTATTGYGAGGTTGTAGTAACTTACCATCAAAGTATTTTCTTCCACAGAGTATTGATCCATCAGTGAGGTTGAGCCACAAGTTGTCTGTCTTATCACACAAAGCACATTTCCATCCCCTGTCATACAACAGATGAAATAATGAAATAATACATGAAATAATGAAATAATACATGAAATAATGAAATAATACATGAAATAATGAAATAATACATGAAATAATGAAATAATACATGAAAAAATGAAATAATACATGAAATAATGAAATAATACATGAAATAATGAAATAATACATGAAAAAATGAAAGAATAAAAAATAAATAAATGAATGGAATAAAGTGAAAAAAAATGAAGACAAAATGAAGACAAAATGAAGAAAAAAATGAATAAAAAATGAAATAAAAAAAATGAGTAAAAAATGAATACAAAATGARCAAATGAATGGATGAAGGGATGGAGGGGAAGACAGACAAACTGATGATGGATGGTCAGTAATGATAAAAATGATAAATGATAAAATAAGTGAACAAGAGCAAGTGGATGAATAATTAAATGAATGAATGGAGGGATGGACAGACACACAGATGGATGAAGGCGTAGATGGATAGGCAGTAAAGAAGAGAGATGGATGACTGAATGAATAGATATTACCGAATCAACCATAGTATGGAATGGGACTGAATATACATACATGTATGCCTGCTCCGCGTATTAAAGTTTGTTGTTAAATACAACAAACAAAAATTCCATTGTGCTTTTGTCTTGATGTAGAAATGAAGTGTGAAAATAGTGTCATGTTTAAGTTGCTAAAAGCTTTCTTTACATTACATTTAAATAAAATTAGGAATTTAAGTGATTTGTCTARCTGAACAAATGTCGTTAGGATTTAATTATGACCATTATATTTGCAGTGGATTAATTCTAATTTTATTAATAAGACATTGACAGGTGACGTTGGACCACAAAGGAATTTCAGGAATTTAACGACAAAAGTGRACAGAACAGAGATATGTAAATTAGTGCCCATTCCTCATTACCGTGGATTCGGTATTAAATGATGAATAATTTAATCTAATAAATGAGAAATGAAGACAGCTCATACTTTGGTGGTATTTTCACTCCATTGTCAAGTTGAACCAATGTGTCCGCATGTCTAAAATACAAATATAAATAAATGCTAGTTAATATTAATATTAAKTAAAAAAATCAGGATTTCAATAAAATCTTGTTGTTTTTTTGCCAAAGTTCTAAGAAACCACCCTAATTTTAGAAAAAAATGTCATTTTTCAGGGGTTAGGTGCAGAACAGCACAACTAAACTGTAAAAAGACCTCTGGTTTTAGTATTTTCAATGTTACTTGGTAAAATAAGTATATAGACAAAGGGTATAATAATATATTCACATTTTAAATGTTTTGGAATACGTAAGTAACTATAATGGCTAAAACTGAATAATTTACTTTGAAACTTTTCTCTTCTCTCCATCCCAGGCCTGCACTTCCTGATGATATGCTGAGGACTGGGCAGCAAGGATGGCAGCAATTGACAGTTGGACCTACAAACAAGTAAAATGTGTCACCTTTGGTATTCAGACTTCAATCAATAYATTCTAATATTAAAATATGGACATAGTGTCAAAGTTCTGTTCAAAAATCATCTGTAATTACTTGCCTGTAATGGTAGGTCTGGGTTTGGTAGTGATAAAATCACTGGTTCACCATCCTCTCCAAAAACAACTACATTATTCACTTCATCAAACTCAACCTGTATTTAAAAGACTGTTTTAACATGATTTTATGACTATACT